GTGAATTACTGTAATTCACATCCAAATCAAAAGTTTATCACTGCCGAATCACAAACTTATCGAACCGGCCAGATGTCCCAGAATTTATGAAAACAGCTGTAAAACATATAAAAAGAATTTTTTGAAAGTTTTCAAACCTTGACCCGGCCGGGTTATGAAACCCAATTTATTAAATTTATATGGTGGCCTAATAAAAAAGAAAAAAAAAAAAGTTATTATAAAACAATAAAAACATTTTTTTTCAATAGGTAATACGCCTGATCATATTAAATTTGTTGCGCAGAATTTAGGATGTTTTTATATCTTGCTAACCGACAAGTATATGCGTTCTTAGTGTAAAGGACATTATCATTGCAAAGTTTTTTTTTATGGTTATGCCATCAATTGGTTAAAATAATAACTGAGGATCTAAAATAACGTGACCGATTTGGTCTAAAACCCTTTTTTTCGATTTTACTCTTTCTATTCATTCCTTAACTGATAATGTTAGTTTAAATATTCTTCTATTCTTAAAACAAAACCGTCTTTTGTGTTTATTAGCTTTAAATATAAACCAAAAAATAAAAAATAAAAAATCGTATAAAGATTTATAGAAGAAACTTCAAAATTGAGAGTTTGATTACGATTAAATAATTAATCGTTTTCAAACACACATTAATAATTGAAAAAAAAATAAAGAATTTAATAGTCATGTAATAATATGAAATACGTATCCCATTGATTTTTAGTTCTTTTATTTTAAATTTTAAAAAAAATGATTTCTATACAAAAAAATATGATGAATGTAAATATTGATAAAATCTTTAAATGCAAACAGAAAACTCTATTTTAGAAAAAAAAAAAAAAAACTAATAATATGCATCAGAATTTCATCAATGTACAGTACATTCGAATTTATTGAAATTATACATAATATGAGAATGAGAAAAAAAAAAATAACTTATCGTTAAATAATCAAGGAATGTATATTTATCAACAATTGAATAAAAGAAAAAAATTCTTTGATCTTTGAGCCCAGATTTTTTTGTTCTTGCTCTAATACAGTAAAATGATTTTTTTTTTTATACAAGTTTTAATCCTCAGTAATCAAATCCTAGATGTAGATCCAATCAATCAATCTAATTCAATTCAATTGTACCGATAATTTATTCCAGCATCCCAAGATTCTCTAATACATTCCATCTCATCAAAAAAATCTACATATTTATAAGTTTTTAATACACCTTCACCAATATATTTATCAATAATTTTAATACAACTAAATGAAATTTCAGATTCCGGATTAATAATAATAGATAAAGGTTTTCGTTTCATACGTTTCCAAGTATCAAGAAAATTATCTAATATTTCATTAGTAAATTCCCAATCAACGTAATCATTATCATAATATTCACCACCACCTAAATTTAAAATTTTTAAAGATCTTGGAGCCTTATTAGGTATAATATTAAATAATTTTTCAGCCCAAACAACAGAATCTGTAACAAATCTAATACCTTCTAATTTAGAACAAGCTAAAAACATTTGTTCAAGATTATCTAAAATTAAATCATTATACCATAAAGTAACAAAAGTAAGATTTGTATAATGAGAAATAATTTGAATATAATCTTTTAATTCTTTAAGAGTTGCACGTGTTAAAGTACCCCAATAAATTCTAATAATATTATTAGATTTTGAAATTAAATTTGTATAAACAGAAAATGGTGTATAAAAATCGTCAACATCAAAAACTTCAAGATAAGGAAAATTAATAGATTCAAAAATTTTTCTATCATTAACTTCTTCAATTAAATTAAGTTTTAAAGAACGTAAATTAATTAAATTAGCCAAAGAATTAATAGGAATACATAATTTTCCATGAAAATAAATATGTAATAAAGAATCAGCTTGAGTTGATAAAGCATCACCAATATGTTGAATATCTATATCATCAGAAGTGAGTTCAATATGTTGTAAACCATGTTGATTTTGAATTAAAGAAGCTAAACCATAATTTTGAGAATCAAATTTTCGAATAATTAATCTTTTAAGATTTCTACAAACTTGAGAAAGTTCAAAATAACTTCTTGAAGGAACGTCATAATAACAATCAAGTCTTTGAAGTTTATCAAAACAAGTATTTGCACCAGGAAAATACCAAATAGGAATTTCAGGTAGATTAAGTTGTTTAATATTTGGACATTTGTTAATAAATGATTTATAAAGCTCTTGTTCAATTAAAATTTTGACATATTGAGCATGTATTTCATTATTTTCAATCGTCCAAGCCATTGCTGAACCGATCATTTCTATTTCGAAAGGTGTTAATATTCTAGTATATCTAACGTAATCGAATAAAAGTGGAGGAACCACTAATCGTTCTTTGTTTAATTTAACTCTGCATTCATTCAACAAGTCCATTGAAACTTCAGGAAGAGAAGCTATATGACATAATAGAATAGATTGCACAAAAGACTTGCCAAATCTCCTATAAAAAAGAAGGGAATATAGGTTTTATTTTTGGGTATAAAAATAAATATTACAATTTACTGTATGTTTAATTAAAAAAAAGAGCTACCATGGGTTTCTCCAAATTATTGGAACAGCTATTTCACACCATAATCTATTTACTAATAAACATGAAATCAATGATTTGCCATCACGAGACAAATATTCAAAGATTTCGTTTAAACAATCTGCAGGGAGTTGCGCCATGTCTAGGAAATTATCTAACAAGGGCGTAAGATTTGTATTGTTAAATTGTGTAATTAAATTTTTATTAACAATATTATTTTATTATTATTATTATTATTTTTTTTTTTTTTTAATATCTGTCTT